GATTCCTTGAATGAGCAATACAGGAAAGAAATAGATCGCATGAAGCAGAGTCAAAGAGATATAGAGGAACTTAAAATCTCAATCACAAGCCTGCAAAACCATTTGTGTGAAAGTGAAGACAGACAGAGTTTCAGATCTTGAAGACGCTGGTGCAACTAGTGAAAAGGTAAGAAAGGATCTCTTAAAAACAACTAGGATGCTGGAAAAAATAATCCATCACCTGCAAGATGATACAAAGATGAACAATGTGAGACTAATAGGCATCAATGGGAAAGATGGAGTCAATACAAATGCTATAAAAGGAACATGGGCAGAAGTAATAGCAGAAAACTTCCCAAATATGAGGAAACAATCTGACATCCAGATAACCAAAGCATGCAGAATGCCAAATAACCTCAACCCAATTACAAACACACTGAGACATATAACAATCAAGATCCCAGAAATCCAGCACAAGAATAATATACTGAAAGCTTCTAGAGAAAAGAAGCAGATCACATTCAAAGGAAAACCCATCAGAATTATGGCGGACTTCTCCTCACAAACTATGAATGCAAGAAAAGCATGGAGCAGAGTACTTCACGTCCTCTATGAAAACAAATTCCAACCCAGACTACTGTAACCTGAAAAACTCTCTTTCAAGGTTGATGGAGAAGTGAGATACTTCCATGACAAAGAACAACTAAAGAATTTCGTGATGACAAAGCCAACCCTATACAGACTACTGAAAGATGTTCTAGAGAGCGACCAAAATGATCAGAACTCCATGAATGAGAACAGAAGGAATCCACTAAATAGGGAAAACAATTAAACACAGGACAAAAAGAAGTAAGGTAAGTACAACAGCAGGTAAGTAACATGTCAATCATAAGTCAATACATCTCAATTATAACCATCAATGTAAATAGACTTAATTTACCAATTAAGAGAAATAGACTGGCATAGTGGATTAGGAAACAATCAACTGTATACAAGAAACACACTTAACTTATAAAGAAATTCATAGGCTGAAAGCCAAAGGATGGAAAACAATACTACACTCCCTGGCACCTCAGAAAAAAGCAGGGGTAGCAATCCTGCTCTCAGACAGTCTCAACTTCAACCCAAGAATGATCAAGTGAAATAGAAGCCACTACATACTGGTTTGGGGAAAAATACAAGAGGAAGAGGTAACAATCATAAATATGTATGCACCAAACACAGGAGCACCCAACTATATAAGA